AAAAGAGACCAAAAAGCTTATAATATGACATAAAGCAAGATCTAATTAATCAAAAAGAAAGTTTGAAGCTTTATACTCACAAAGGTCTAGAAAAGATGCAACCTTGTTGGATCTACACTTGAACCTTCCTTCTATGCACCAAAAAAAACTCTTGATCTACAAGCTTCAACCACCAAAATGGAGAAATAAGCTCACAAAAGAATTCCAAGGCTCAAAACAAGGGAGAGTGTAACACCCATAAAATTCAGGCCAATTTAAAAACATTTTAACCCATTCAAAACCATTAAGTTATTACAACTTGTTTTCAAAATAGTTTAAACATCAGAGTATCCCCAGAACCAAATCACAAAATCATGAAATATGAGGAGCGGTACGATCACGCCTTTGCCTTGCCACGATCACCTGATGTACCTGAAACAATAAACTGAAAACCGTAAGCTCGAAAGCTTAGTGAGTTCCCCCAAAATACCCGTACACACATAACCATACACATACAACAATGAACAACATACTATGGGTCCAATCAACCATCAGGTTGGAATACCCCAGGCCCTCAACCGTCGGGTTGGAATGCCAACATACTACGAGTCCAATCATCCTCGGGATGGAATACTCTCAGCCCACAACCATCGGGTTGGAATGCCCACACACCTATACATACAATAACTACTATGGGTCCAATCATCCCTCAGGATGGAATACCCCAGGCCCTCAACCATCAGGTTGGAATGTTCACCTACTATGAGTCCAATCATCCTACCGGGATGGAATACTCCTGGCCCTCAACCATCGGGTTGGAATGCCTACCTACTATACATACACTAACTACTATGGGTCCAATCATCCCTCGGGATGGAATACCCCAGGCCCTCAACCATCAGGTTGGAATGCCCACCTACTATGAGTCCAATCATCCTACCGGGATGGAATACTCCTGGCCCTCAACCATCAGGTTGGAATGCCCACATACTAACAACCATGTACACCTATCAAATAACCATATAACAGTCTACAAGACAACATACTAGGGCCCTATCATCCTACCGGGATGGAATACCCTCTACTACTGCTCAACACGTGCACATATAACAGGTAATCTCCTACCAGCATACAGACAGTCAGACCAACTACGGGTCATTAAGCATAGCCTCATCCAATCTACCAGAATACCGATCTAACAGAGCATACCATCATATAGCCATCCTATCTACCAGGATGCCAACTAACAGAACATACCATCATAAAGCCGTCCTATCTACCAGGATACCAACTAACATATCACAGCAGTAACTAACTCAAATAACAAATCAAAGGGCCTGCCTTGGTGCCTTAGACCCTTGGGTATAGTGAGGATAACTCACCTTGCAACTTCCGAACCGAACCACGAAAGCACAATCCCGAAGCACTGCCCCAAACTCCAACACCTATAGCCATCAATGATCCATTGACATAAATACCAAATTACCATAATACCCTTGAAGGTCAAACTGGTCAAAGTTAAAGTCCTGGCCAAAGTCAACCTTCCTGATTGACCCTACTCGTCGAGTCAACCCGCTGACTCGCCGAGTTCCTAAACTCAGAAAACTCTCAAATCACGACTCGACTCGCCGAGTCACCCCATGACTCGTCGAGTTCAACAATCTCTGAGTCCTATCCTGTCCAACTCACTGAGTCACCACTCAACTCGCTGATCTGAGTCTTAACCAGAGGAGGTTGGGGTTTTGCGTTCTGACTCGCCGAGTCCAAGAACAGACTCGCCGAGTCCACGACAATCTTCAACAGACTCGCCGAGTTGTTCCTCCAACTCGTCGAGTTCATGCCTATATTCAACAGACTCGCCGAGTCCCTTCAGTCCTTTATTCATACAGAGGCTTTTCGAGTCATGCAGGGGCTCCAAACTGTAGATCCACTCTTCTAGGGCATAACTCCCACGTAAAGTTGCAAACTTTACGTGAAACCAAGGAGCTATAAGCCCAAATCACTCTAGGGCTAAGGTTTAAGACAAGGATGCTTCACCAACAAGCCAAAGGCTGATACTTTGTGAGTTTCTGGACCAAGACAAGTCTAGATCTGAAGTAGCAACCTCAGATCTAGACCCCTAACCCGAAATAGATCCTTAACATGCAAAAAGGGCCCCAAATCTCATTCTTGAATAGATATAAATGCAATAGAGTCAAGGTAACAGCTTGTTACTTCCAAAATGTGCCCAAACTGCAGTAGATTCTGGATCTGCACCACTCTCTTGATGCAAGCCCTTTTGATCTTCAAGTTTCTTCCACTAGAAACAACTTCCAAAGCTTCAATCTCCCTCCAAAGGCCTCACACACACGAGCTTAGGGTTTTATGGTTCTCAAGGGCAATAAGGAGGCTGAGAGAAGGACATAAAGTCCTTTAAATAGGGTGCAACCCCCGAGATTAGGGTTTTTTTCATTCCAGCACCAACTCGTCGAGTCCAGCTTCCGACTCAGCGAGTTGGTCACTTAATTCACAACCCAAGACCCGCTCCGACTCGGCGAGTAAGCATACCTACTCGTCGAGTCCCTTCTTCAAAATTACACTTTAAACCCTTAAATCATACCTCTGAAATTTGGGGTGTTACAGAGAGAAAGCTAAGGTTTTTGAAGTTCTCTTAAAGGGTGATGAAGGTTGAGAATGAGCTAACCCTAGGGTTTAACGATGCATAAATAGCCCCCAAAACCCTAAAAAGACGTTCAACCCATGGGACAAGGCGCACCACACCTATAAAAAGGCGCATCGCGTCTTTTACGATTAACAATAGATTATCAGCTTTCAGATTTCAACGAATAAGTAAAATAAAACCATGATAGATTACGTACCGGGAAAAGGGATGTTACTAATAACTCTGAAGAACAATGATCAAGCAAAAAAGACTTTCCATTCTTCTTCATTTTTTGGCTAAAACACAAACCCTAGCTTGGATATGAGAGAGGGTTGAGAGAGAGAGCAAGAGAAAACATGAGAATAAGAGGGAAAAATAATATGTCCAGTTCTCAAGTCTTAAGGAACTGCTCTATGGGTTAGATTGCTAATTATCTATTTTAATTGGTATATTTATACCTTAATCCAAGAAATAAATACTTACCAATTCAAAGTTTCAAACCAAGCATAATTACACTTAGACCCTTCATTTAGTTTCTAATTAACTCGACATAAGGTGACAAGATAATAAACTAGTCCCTCTAATTTTCCTTTTATCATTTTATGCGTGAATCATATCTTGCGTGTAACCTAAAAACACCGTGCTATTTCTAAAAATATCACTAACTTGTGAAATTAAGCATACTTCCAACAAGTCAAACTCAAAAACCGTTTTTGGGTTTTATTTTAAAAAACACATACACACAAACGAACACATACAAAACTCTGAAGAATATGAAATCGTTCGTGGGTGTTCATCAAGATCTGGTTTTTGTGATGTAAAAAATCGAAGAACATGAAAACCTTTTTGGAAGAAATCGTTTTTTTAGGTGTTTGATTTCGTTTCTGATGAGTCAAACCCATAAATCGTTTCTTGGTTTTTTTTTCTTCGGATTTCCTAGTTTGTTAGATTTTTTTTGGAAGAGATACACAAATATGAGGGATTTCATGGGAAATGAACACAACCCCCCCCCCCCCCACCACCACTACACACACACACACAAATCTAATGGATTTCTTGGGCTTCTTTTGCAAAATCGATTCCTTGGTTTGTTGGAATTTTCAGAAGAGATCAATTTTTCTGGGTTTTTTCTTTAAACTTGAAGATGACCGTAAACACATGTGGAAAATTTATGTTTGATTAGAGAAGATGACCGTAAATTTCATGTTTGGCTAGAACTTACATTAGCCAGAAAATGAGTGATTTGTGAACATGGTAAACAATTTTAATGATTATGTGTTAAAAAAACATAAGGGTGCACAAAGTATGAGCAAATATGGAGAATGGTAGCCATTGGTGGGCGCAATACCGTGGGTATGGGTATCGCCATTCCGTGAAGGTGGGGGCCGTAATGGTGCGGGTTTAGCCAAATGGTGACTTATACCACTTGTTTTAGTACTTGTACATTGAGAATGGGTTAGGAAATATGGAATCCTTGTATTGAGGGTTGTGAAAGATAGAGTGAGAGGAGAGAGAAAAGCCAATGTGAGAAATAAGTGACAAGAGGGTTAAGACTTGGTATGGCTGGGAAAGATAGATTCCCTCGGTTCTAAGTGATTAAATACATACACGAGATACCAAAGGGCTTGTAGCCTAACAATATCAAATGTATTGGAACAATGTTTATTCCTTAAGTGATCGAGGTTTCAAGTCTCATGTGGACAAAAGAAGTAGAATTAGTAGTATGATTAGTGGGTGTGTGTTTGTAGTTGTTAAAAAAAAATAAGGGAATAGAGTAAACTAACCATTATAAATGAGTTTTTTTTTGTTTTTTTAATAACCATTTTTTCTAGTTTTTGAAAAATGATCATTTACTCCCGAATGCTCCATTCCGAACATAACTCATTTTTAGTTTTGTTTTTTCCAAAGAAATATCTCTATTTATGTCTGAAATGTCCATTTTAAAGTGTTTAATGTCATTGGTTTTTAGTCAAATGCTTGATTTTATACATTAATCTCGTGTATAGATCACATTAACTATGTTTGTTTAACTTTTTGTTAGATTTTAGTAAAAGACCAATTTTTTTTTCTTAAAATTTCAGAATTGTTCTTCAGATTTGGATTTGTTCTTGAAATTCCAAAGTTTTTATCGAAATCCGAAAATAAGTATAGAATCGAGAATGTTGGTCCAAAATGTCAGTTTGAAAATGTGTTTTTTCAAAGTCTCGAATGACAATTCCGTACTAAGTGGTTATTTTTAACAAAAATAATTCTTTTTAATTACTTTTCTTCAAATACATAGGAGTATTAAATAATGGTTAGATTGCTTAATACTGTTAATACCGGTTGAAATTTATTACTTTCTCATTAACTCATTCTTGTGATTAAACATCAATAAAAGAGAACGACGTCGTCGTTTCCTTCTTCCTCCAAATCTCTCACTCTCAGACACAGTATGAGTCGCTTAACTTCCTGCTACTGATAGTCGAACAAAGCAATGGGCAGCACAGTCAACATCAAGAGCAGAGTGTTCGGACCTCCTTCCTCAACACCCTGCACTCGCTCACACCAGATCGGAGCCCTAGCCCTCATCGCCGTTACCTTTTTCGCCACCAGACTCTTAGACCAATCATTCCCCTCCTCCATTTCTTCCTCTTCATCCTTCGATGGCAATGGATATGAATCCAACATTATACGTTTCTCAGAAGATGAGGGTTCAGTACGGTGGCCTCGCCGCGGATATGGGTCCTACATCTCCCTCAAAATCTACATCTATGATGAGAATGAGATCGACGGCCTAAAACAGCTCTTGTATGGTCGTGATGGAACGATTTCGGCGGATTCTTGCCTCAAGGGACAATGGGGTACTCAGGTAATTCAATTTCCCTTTTTCTTGTATACCCGAGTTCATGGAACCTATAGATCGTCATTTTCATCTTACTTGTGAACTTGAAATCGATTAATTGAATGAACGGTGCTGATCTGTTCTTCAACTATAGTCGATTTGCCGAAATTATATGTTACTGGTTTATTGGGATTAGTTGTTGTTTTACATGATTCAGTTCTGCCCTGATCAAAAGCTGAAACATCAATTTAATCTGGCGACGATGTATAGGATGCTAACTCAATTTGAATTGCATAAAACATGATACCATTCTGAACTGATGAAATTAGTTTGTAAATTTGAAGATAACCTTCCTTCATCAGGTTTTTACAAGCACACCTGGTCACATCACAGTTATAGCATTCTTGTATTTTGGTAGAGTTTCACATGAATTTTATCCTTTACATCAGATAACCAGTCTAGCCTTTTATGTTTCCATCAGATTTTACCAATAACATGATTATCTTATTGTGATTAAAACCCTGTTCCTGAAAGAGTGCACATATATATATATATAGTTAAATAGACTTCTATAAACACTCATAGTCTCATTCCCATTTAGCATACAGCTATACATTTGTGCAATGTTTGATAATGTTAAGTGTTCTGTATCCCATTTTTGTTTGAAGGGTATACTAAGTTCTAGTCTTTTGACACTAACATGAAATTATAGGTCAAGATTCACAAGCTTCTACTTAAATCAAGATTTCGTACACATAAGAAAGCAGAAGCTGATCTGTTCTTCGTACCATCCTATGTTAAATGTGTTCGAATGATGGGTGGTCTTAATGATAAAGAGATAAACCAAACTTATGTTAAGGTATATCAATATCATAGGTGTTCTTGGATAAGAAATTATACTTTAATTGAAAAATAGATAGGTTAAAAGATTCCTAATTTAGTGTCTTCTTGCTCTCAGGTATTAAGCCAAATGCCATATTTCAGGTTATCAGGTGGTCGCAACCACATATTTGTGTTTCCAAGGTATGATTACTTACAATTATAACCAATTTCATCAATTATTGTTCTTGTTGTCAGTTTTTATAACTTAAGTATGATGACTTACAATTACTACTATGATACTATCTGTCAGTGGTGCAGGGGCCCACCTATTCAAATCATGGGCTACCTACATAAACCACTCAATAATCCTAACTCCTGAGGTTAGTGAATACAAAATAACACTTGCATAAGGTGTTTTCTTGATTTATATTGGAGTAAAAAATGTTTGCATAAACAGGGAGACAGGACAGATAAGCGGGACACAAGTGCCTTCAATACATGGAAAGACATAATTATCCCTGGAAATGTTGATGATGGAATGACAACTCATGGGGTAAGGCTGGTAGAACCCTTGCCATTATCAAAAAGAAAATACTTGGCAAACTACTTAGGTCGTGCACAAGGAAAATCAGGCCGTCTTCAATTAATTGATCTTGCTAAACAATTCCCACATAAGGTATTTACTTACTTTTTCCTCTGTCTGTATCACTGTCACTGACACTGACACTATCTGTTTTCTACAGTTGGAATCTCCAGAGTTGAAGTTTAGCGGTCCTGAAAAATTGGGGAAGGCCGATTACTTTCTACACCTGCGTAATGCTAAGTTTTGTTTGGCCCCACGTGGGGAGTCATCTTGGACTCTTCGCTTTTATGAGTCCTTTTTTGTGGTATGTGTTGTGTTTTTGTTACGCTTAAAAAAATGAGGGTTCATTGAATAATTTAATGTTTTTTTTTATGCAAAACAGGAGTGTGTGCCTGTGCTCTTATCAGATCATGCAGAGCTACCATTTCAGAATGTTGTTGACTACTCCCAAGTATCAATCAAATGGCCATCTTCAAGAATTGGCGTTCAGCTTTTGGAGTATTTGGAGTCCATACCAGGTTTGTTTGATGTTATAACATGATCCCTTAAGTTGGCATAAAGTATGTTGACTTTTTGGTATGGTTGTTGACCTTTTTGGTTATGGTATTGTTAGATAAACGGATAGAGGAGATGATTGCTCGAGGCAGGAAATTGAGATGTTTATTGGTATATGGTCCTGATTCGGAGGCGTGTTCTGCTTTTAGTGGGATATTATGGGAGCTTCAAAGGAAAACAAGACAATTTCATCAGTCAAGTGAAACATTTTGGCTGCATAATGGATCGATAGTTAATAGAGACTTGGTGGAATTCTACAAATGGAAACCACCCTTGCCTTTGCCTTAAACTTTGAAAAAATGGAGAGGATTCATAGAATACAAGAGTTGTAGTTTTAATGTGATATGAGAAGCTAGTCATGGTGATGTAAATGATATGGCTATTTAGGAAGAATTGCAACAATTCCTTGATATAACGAAAATTTGATTCATTTGTTGTATTATAGTTGCAAGATGACAATTGACTTTGGATCCATATATCTATCTATTTGTTTGAGGTCGCTAAGACTTGATTTGTAAAATGGTATTTAGATTTCAGAAAAGTTACATTTTGCCAAATATATATATATAATAGGGATATAAAATTCATTTGTAGTAGAAAACCATTATTCTGGAAATGTCTCATTAAAAAATATGTAATTATATAAAGTTTAAAAAAAATAAAAAAAACACACACACACACTTGAAGACGTGGCCAATTCCAAGCCAGATGGTGACCATTTTCAGATAAGTGAATTCCCACCATGAAAATAGAACATACAGTAAACTACCAAATACAAACTATCAAACATTGTGCATAAGTTGTCGAAGAAGAAGAAGATCCACACTCTACAAGCTAAAAAGGAAACAACCTCCAATCTTTTTTACGATATCATTCTAACAGAAGCCCTTCGAAAGATGGGCACAATTGGATTTACAAGTTTCGGGTTTCCATTAAAAACCAGGAAGCAAAACCTTCCTGTTGTTGCTTCTGCTTCCTCCTCCCCTGAAAGAATCAATTCAGAAGAAAATGGATGTGAGGTTTTGAGAAGAAGAACAGCAATCGTATCTGGAGCTTCATTGGTGTCTTCAGCAATATTAGGATTCCCTAAAGAGGGATTAGCCGTCGTCAAGCAAGGACTTTTAGCCGGTAGAATTCCAGGCCTATCTGAACCTAATGAACAAGGTTTGTCCCCTTTTAATCCTAGATACACAATTAATTAAGGAATATGAAAACTCTTACAGTTATGCCAAAATCATCAATCATATATTCTTAATCAATTTTGTTATTCATCTTCACGATGTTAAAACATGCTCAGACAGGTTGGAGGACTTACCGCCGACCAGATGAGAAGTCCGGCGGCCATGGAGTTGGCTGGAGTCCGATCATTCCGTACGCCTTTTCAGTGCCTGATGGTTGGGAAGAGGTAACAATTGATTATAATCCCTTCTGAATCCTTCGATAATGTTAAGAAATCAGCAACGGATTGTTGATTTGTCTATCATCTTTTCCAGACACCAGTATCGATAGCTGATCTTGGAGGAACGGAGATTGATCTGAGATTCAGTAGCCCAAGTGACGGACGCCTGTTCGTCGTCGTTGCACCAGTTCTCAGATTCGCAGATTGTGAGTTCACCCTTCAAAAAATAAACTTTCATCGTTCTTTCTCCATAACTAAACATTCTATTACGTAATTTTATACATAGATCTAGAGGACGATGCCAGG